CTTATCTCGTGTTCTCCCAACCTCCCGTGTGTTTACATCAGGCTATGTACACACAGAAACCATTTTACATTTCTTCAATGAAAATACTCTGTGCAATTAAAATACTTTGTGCAAAAACCTCTCAGTGACATGCAGCAAACTTGGAATCTGCTTAATTTTGGTTAAAAATTAATAGTTTCATTTAAGTCTTTTTTGTTTTCTTTTTACATAGATTTTTTACTCACTTTTTTGTTTATCACTCATACAAGTATATTAAGGAATTATTTTATTACAGCCTTCAGTCTTCAGTGATTAAAAGTTGTGACTACATTACAACATGCCTCTCGGTTCAGCTAATGGTATTAATGTGTAGCTGGGTGATGGGATTGTGTGAGTGTAGTCATGTTGATATTGACTCATGCAAACCTAGATCCTGTTCTCCAACAGAGCTATTCATTATCTGCGAACAAAAAACGTCATAGGATGTTGGACTATTGGTTTATTGAAAATAACTGATTCTTTGCAGATGCACTTTCAAGCCAATATTCACCGGACACAACCTTAGCATTGTTGCAAACTTCTGCAGCACAAGCAGAGGAAGAAGCTGAGGTAAATTGAAAATAAGGGTGTATCTAGGCTATGCTCCCTTTTAATCTTCTCTCTCAAATTGCATGGGGCTAAATGGGGTATGATGCTCAGTATACACGCCAGCTTCATTGGAGAAATGTCTGGTAAATTTCCAGTACTGACAGTCAAGTGCAGGACATGGTCCAACACCTTAACCCTTAAACTCCCAAGATCTGATTGTCAATTCTCCCCTCTGGCTGCTACACATTTCCTTGTAAACTAGTAACGAGAATTTGCTGTTAGATCAAGATAGCAACTTCAACCTGATAAGTTTGAGTATTCTCATTACATTTTTGTTGGATAATGTATGGATATTGTAGGGAGAAATTACTTGTTAAGCACATCTGGGAGTTAAAGGGTCAAAAACAGATATCTGATACAAACCCAAAAAAAATGCTATATTTATAGTATTTAGCACCAACATGGAAAAATTTGTTTTCCATCCACTTTTGTTGAAATGTTGCAATTTGTTTGAAGCTGTTGGTAAAATGACATTGAGTTGAACTATAACATCTTTCCTGAACAATTTTCTATTTGACTAGCTTCACTTTTTCTTGGCAAAAACTCCTCAGTGGTTTGACAAATGATTAGATCATTTGTCAAACCACTGAGGATTTGCAGGCTTGGTATATGGTAAGTGTTGTTGTATGTTATGATTAACGAACAGGTGTGCATTCTTTAGCACTGAATCAAATATTTTATTGCATTTCAGAAAATTGCTGATAAATTCCTAGATGGTGAAATCAATGTTGAGGACTTCATTCAGTCATTTCAAAGTCAGAAGACTATTCACAGCTTACGAAAAATTAAATCTGAAAAGTTGACTGAGGTATTAAGAAGTAGGATGTCTTCCCAATATTCCTATAGGCTTTAATTATTCATACTCTTAAACAAGAAGAAAAATACATGTGTTAAAAAAAAAAAAGGCTTATCGTCTTTTCTCTTCAAAATAAAACAAAGCTCTGTGGATATGGTTAAACTCTTTTGTTGGGGCCAGCCCCAATGAGGATTAAGAACAAAACTTGACTGGGGTTTCTGTGTTCAAAAAGGCATGATTTAGAGTTGATGGAGAAGGATGAAATACCTTACATTTTTCAACCTTTCATTGGCAAAATGAAAGTTTGTACTCATGTGAAATCATTAATTTATGCATAGCTTATATTAATGTAATAGAGCAGTTGTTTGGGGGATAATGCTATGTTAACTATTTTACTCCCAGATTTCATTAGTGATGCTCCATACTGTCTGCCATACAATTCTTACGATGTTGGTGTGAAGAATTTTGTATTGGATTGACTAATAATCCCCTAATTGATATTTTTGCTTATTCTCATCACTTGTCTGCTTGATGTTGCATGGATATTGTAAAGACAAGTTCTGTTTTGGTTGCTCATGGGAGCTAAAGGGTTATGTGTATATTGCCTGTCTGAGCCTGACTCAGATTAAAGTGATGTCAACTGGGAGTTAGGCCCAGATTGACAATCTTCACCTTGGACAAAGTCATAGGTAAAATTTAATAAAGTTAGTGTGTAACAGGCTGGGAATAATGCTTACATGTTTATTGTATAATGTGATCTGTAGCAGCTATGGTGATCACATAGCTTGGAATTGGTTGTATTACTTTAATTCACTTTAGCACAGCTAAGTTCGAAGTAAAGTTCAAAGTTAATTTTTAGGTTTTCTAATGGTAATTATCAGTACAATATGACTGTGGTATGTATATGGTTTGAGACCAAGAGACAGTTAGACAGGTGTCAGAAAGTTTTCCCAAAAGCTTAAAAGTTGTGCAAAAGAGCTGGCTCTTTTGTATAATGTTAGTCCTTCAAATTTTTGCGCAACCTTCAGGCACTGATTTTTGATATGTCTTCCATAGTTTCCTGTAACCCATTAAAACTTAGAATAAAGAAAAAGTGTTTCCTTCTTCACTTACTTGTTAGGTTTTATATTGAACTATCAATAAATTATTATATAATA